CTGGTAAACAAAGCCAACTGGGAACAATTTCAAAAGCTTACTCACCTAAATTGGACTGACATCTGCGGGTTAGGCATAGATGAAGCTGTGCAGTACTTCACAGCTTTTCTTACTGACGCAGCAACCAAGTGCATTCCACAAACATCTGGACTGCCCGGCAAACGACACGTTCCGTGGTGGAACACTGTCAGAATGCGCGAAAGGAACAGAACAGGGCATGGAGGTTGCTGCGGAACTCGCCGGCAGCGGAAAACCTTGAGAGCTTTAAGAAAATAAAATCTCGAGGCAGGAGAACGCGTCGGCAGGCCAGAAAAGAAAGCTGGCACAAGTTTTTATCAGGGATAAATTCATATACACAAGAGGCTAAAGTCGGCAACATGGTTCGTAGGGTAGCAGGAAGACAAGTACACTCACTCCCACTCGTAAACACACAGGGTGATAGCCTGGAAGATCAAGCGAACTTCTCGGTGCACACTACGAGCAGGTGTCTAGCTCGTCACACTACACTGAAGCTTTCCAAAGACACAAAGCAAAGATAGAAAAGCAGAAACTAGAATCCAAGTGCACAAATGACGAGGAATACAACCAACCTTTCAACTTAGCTGAGCTACAAACATCGCTAAACTCTTGCAATAATTCCGCTCCAGGCTACGACCGTGTCAAATATGAAATGTTGAAAAACCTGTCGCTCGAAGCGTGAAAAACTTTACTCTCTCTGTACAATGCTATCTGGCTTTCAGGCACCATCCCTGCTTCCTGGAAAGAGGCTATTGTTATTCCTATTATGAAACAGGGCAAGGACCCTTCCTCAGTTTCAAGTTATAGGCCCATTGCACTAACCAGCTGCCTTTGTAAACTTTTTGAAAAAATTATAAACTGCCGACTTGTACATATCCTTGAAACAAACAATTTGCTCGACCCATTTCAGTGCGGGTTTCGAGAAAGCAGATCCACCACAGACCACCTTGTTCGTATCGAGGCACAGATAAGAGACGCCTTCGTCCATAAACAATATTTTCTCTCTGTGTTCCTCGATATCGAAAAGGCTTATGATACAACATGGCGTTTTGGAATTCTAAGAAATCTGTCCCACCTTGGTGTGCGCGGAAGAATGTTTCATATAATCGAAAGTTACCTGTCAAACCGGACATTCCATGTCCGTGTGGGCAGTGTTCTCTCCCAAACATTTGTCCAGGAAACAGGCGTGCCACAAGGTGGTGTGCTTAGTTGCACACTTTTTATTATCAAAATGAATTCTTTGTACTTGTCCATCCCCTACAGTATGTTCTATTGTACATATGTCGACGACGTTCAGCTTGGCTTCAAGTCATGCAACTTGGCAATGTGTGAGCGGCAGGTTCAGCTTGGCTTAAACAAGGTCTCCAAATGGGCAGATGAAAACGGATTTCGACTTAACCCACAAAAAAGCACGTGTGTCTTGTTCTCTTGAAAGAGAGGCATGCACTCTGAACCTGACATTCGACTGAACGGGCAACGTCTGTCCGTCAAAGCCGAACATAAATTCTTAGGCTTAATCTTGGACAACAAGCTGACCTTCGTTCCGCACATCAAGAATTTAAAAATGAAATGTTTAAAAGCCATGAATGTTATAAAAGTGCTGTCACGTACTACTTGGGGTAGTGATAGGCAATGCCTCATAAATCTGTATCGAAGCCTCATTCGCACCCGCTTAGATTATGGGGCCGTTGTTTATCAGTCTGCAACTCAAAGTGCTTTAAAGATGCTGGACCCCGTGCACCATTTGGGCATCCGCCTTTCTACGGGTGCTTTTCGCACCAGCCCCGTAGAAAGCCTTTATGTTGAGTCAAATGAGTGGTCGCTTCATCTGCAGAGAACTTACATGTCCTTTGTTTATTTCCTTAAGGTGAAAGCAGATAAAAAGCACCCCTCATACTCTACTATTAATGATTTGTCGAGCTCATTTCTGTTTCAAAACAGGCCTTCGAAGAGGCAGCCCTTCTCAGTTCGCGTGAAAAGTCTAGCCGAGGAAACTGGAGTCTCACTAGAACACAGTTTAATGGCTCCTGTAGCATATCCGCCACCGTGGCAATGGCAGACTATAGACTGCGATGTGTCCTTTCTAGAAGTTACGAAACATGCGCCTATTGCCCATATCCGAACATACTTCCTGGAACTTCAACACAAATACACACGTCCTGAGTTCTTTACAGATGCTTCCAAGTCCAACTCCTCTGTGTCCTACGCTGCTGTCGGCCCATCCTTTTCGGATGCTGGCCTTCTACATCCAAGCACAAGTTTCTTCACAGCAGAAGCTTACGCGATACTTGTGGCAGCTAAACACATACAACTACAAATACAAAAAGCAGTAATTTATACAGACTCGCTCAGTGTGGTAACGGCTCTGCACAGTCCTAAAAAACAAAAGCCCGGTCCTTGTCTCACTTTACTCCATTTTGTGCACACTCTACACACTAAAACAACATGTTGTAGTGTGCTGGGTGCCAGGGCACCGTGAGATCCAAGGCAATGTGAGGGCGGATCAGCTTGCTGCATCCGTCCACAAAAGCACTGGCCCTACACCCATATTAATCCCGGCCCTTGATCTTAAGCCGTCTCTCAAACGAAACATCAGGGACTACTGGCAGAGCAAGTGGGATACACACACACAAAACAAACTACACATTATTAAGCCACACCTTGGTCATTGGCTGCCAGTATCAAAATCGCGTCATACAGAGGTTATACTAACGAGGCTCAGGATAGGACACATATACACGACACACACTTATCTTTTGTCTGGTGGCGATGCACCATTGTGTGACAGATGTGGTGAACCATTAACCGTCCTTCACGTGTTAATCCAGTGTAAACACTTAGAAACTATAGGAAAACAGCATTTTCCATTACCCTACCGACAACATATACCTTTACACCCTGCAATGTTCGTTGGTAGGGAACCGCTTTTTAGTCATAAATCATTGTTAGCGTTTTTAAAAGAAATTCGTAATTTTCATATCATATAACCGGGCATCCCATAGCACGACCTCTCCAGGGAGGTTTTTGCTGCGGTGGCTACACAGGAAAGCACTTGCCTCACGGCCCTTGCACGCAAGGGTATGAACCAGTGAGGCACTTGTGCTAATGCCATACATATACACCATCGTTTTTTATTATCACCATCTTTTGTTATCTATTCACACCACACTCACCTTTCACGGCATGGTCATGATTTTATTACTTGTATGTTTTTACCCGCCTTACCGCGAGGAATTTTATGGCCCTTATACAGCCGCTAATCACAATCATTGTCCACATTCCTTGTCGCATGAACTGGCGCTCTTTGGCCATCAAATGGCCCTTGCGCCAAAAACACCAGATATCATCATCATTGTAAACTAATTTTAGGTGTCATAAATTTTTCAAGCATATTGATATACCTTTGTAATACTGATTCCGGATGCAGTTTTTTTGTAAAGGTACATAAAGTAGAAATCAATTGAGCTCCTTTAATGAAATGATACAATCCTGTAATAACATTCAAGGAATTCAATAAAACAAAGCTTGGTAAGCTAGAAAGGAATAGGCAGCAAAAGGTGACACCTCCTTGAAGTTTGCTTAATGAGTTGGCCTATCTATCAATTAGTAAAAGACTGTGCTTGATTTTCAAGAGACATACATAAAAGTATCCAGAATGTCTCTCTTGCCAAAATACTCTAGTAGAAATACACATTAATGTCACTGACAAAGTACTAACATACAAGTGGCACACATTAAAATATTAACGAATATTTCCTGTGCACGTTACTCATTCTTTCTCTTTATATATGAATGATTAATGGCACATCGAATCAATAAGTTATCTGTCCCTAAAAAGATGTGGTGCAAATTCTATTAAGATTTGGATCCATTTACGCATAAGATCAGTAGCCCCGCCGCGGTGGTCTAGTGGCTAAGGTACTCGGCTGCTGACGCGCAGGTCGCGGGTTCGAATTCCGGCTGCGGCGGCTGCATTTCCGATGGAGGCCGAAATGTTGTAGGCCCGTGTGCTCAGATTTTGGTGCACGTTAAAGAACCCCAGGTGGTCAAAATTTCCGTAGCCCTCCACTACGGTGTCTCTCATAATCAAATGGTGGTTTTGGGATGTTAAACCCCACATATCAATCAATCAACGCATAAGATCAGTAGCAAAATGGCGTCACCTGATCTCAGCTGGACGCTCACAGAAAGGCCTCTTTCTTATGTAGGTGGGAAAACGCTGTTGAAGTATCAGTCACTTTTTGGATTTTTAAAAGTGTAGATGAATTCAATGTTCTTTTTCTGGGCAATATGTAGGGCAGATTTCTCACTGAGGTTGCTGCTGTGGTAATTGTATCAAAGCAAACACCTGCCTTCTTTATATTGTGCTTAAAAGGCCTTGAGGAGGCATGCCTCCTTCTTTTTGGAATCGTGATCTCCGGTCTTTCATCCAACACCCGTTGCATCACAATCCTGTGTCACTGCCATAAATACTGCTGTACATACATATTTCTTACACTACTGTATAGTGTATGATTTTAGGCCCTTTGTACAGCCATAATATGTCCTGTCATCATAGTTACTGGTCACTGCTAACACTTACACACTCATAAATAAGGCATTACATCTGGTTCTTGCACAGGAAAAAACTAACCATCACCTGTGGTCATGTTACGGGTAAGCCATTGCCCTTATTTATAAACTGGGAAAGCGGAAATTTTTGTACGCCCGGGAAAAGGGCCGTAACTAGAGGGAGTTTCAGGGGATTTTGACACCTCCCAAAGTTTTTACTGCAGTTAATTATTTGGTTGGTACTCAAATACTTACATCCATTCACATTGACCACCAGTTGCCAATGGTAGCCGTTGTAGGCAAAAACGCCCCTCAAAGTAAATTTTTGGGTATGGTCCTGCACTAGGGAAACTCCGCATTTTCATGTGAATGTGAGCTCACCGCGACCTCTTGTACCCCCATCTCAATTCAGTTCGTTGCTGCTTCTGCAGGAGATGGAACTGCGGCGGCTGCTCCACCAGGTGCGCTGCTGGCTGCGGGTTATGTTCGTCATCGCCAACAATCTCTACTGCATCCCCACCTACCTGGCCTGGATGTGGGTGGTCTTCTATCCGCTGCGCATTCTTCTACCCCCTCTGTACTGGGCCATCGAGCGGCAGCTCTTTCGCCTGCTCCTCCTCATGGTCTCCTTTTGGAGCTGGAGTGCCGAGTACTACGGTACGTTGTTTTGTTATGACGGACATTGTTAGCAGCTGGTAATGGCCTGAGACAGATTTATGGTGATGTCTGGTGTCCTTGTGGGATGATAGAGTGTGAGTCCTGAGAGTTTGCTTAACCAGTGCTCCAACGTGAGAGGTTATATGGGTAGTCATTACACTCCAACTTTGATGTAAATAAATATTGGTTATAACGGAATAGATGAAAAACAGTTTTGTAATAGACATAGTGCTAATAATATACTTTCATTGCAAACTGTCAACTATAACAAACGTACTTTTGTGTAAGATGCAACTTTGTTAGGATGAGGTTTGAGTGTGCTTTCAAAGTTATATGGCCAATAACCTGTTGTATGCAAGTTGGTATGCTTGACATCTGGCCTGTTTTACTTGTTTTAACTTGTAAGTTATTTTTGTATATACCCTCTCAAATGTCTGGACATTTTACGGAAAGGTGTAGTATTACCATCACCCTGTTCAACTTGTTCAGTTGCATGGTATATATGGTAACATGCTAACCAGTCTCGCAACACAGCTACTAACTTAAAATTCAAGGTTTTATGGTCACTACATATTTTCTCCAACCATAAGGTGATATGACCAACATGCATTCAACTTCAGAGGTAGAATAATTGATGCCCTTCATTAACTTGTGAGTGCTGTTGCCAGTGCCCTCTCTGACATGTAACGTTTAGCCAATGCCACAACTTTGAGTTAGTATATATTTCTGACAGCCTTGGTCGCTCATTAAGTTTAGTAAGTCTAAGATTCGGCGCAGAAACATGAATAGCAAGAGTGTATGCAACTAGCAACTCTGGCCTGACACCTCAACTAAACACAGAGAAGCTGAACTTCCAAGATTGGTTTCCCAAGTGGGAGGCTGCTGTATTCATTATGATCTAAGCAATCAAGCTTCAAGTTCTGCAGCCACGTCTTTTCCTGCACTGCAATTAAATTTACAAAATGCACTACCAATGGGCCCATATATCCATTCTTACTGGTGGCAAACCTTGCTGCTGGTGTGTAATCTCCTCCAAGCGTAACCAGTTGTCACTGTTAGTGCCCCGCAGCAGTGGTCTAGTGCCTAAGGTTCCCGGCTGCTGACCCACAGGTCAGGCGATCAAATCCCAGCTGCAACAGCTGCATTTTCAATCGAGGCGAAAATGTTGTTGGCCAGTCTGCTATGGTTTGGGTGCATGCTGAAGAACCCCAGGTGGTCGAACTTTCTGGAGCGTTGCACTACAGCGCCTCTCATAATCATATGGTGGTTTTAAGCGTGTTAACCCCCATATATCAATCGTATCATGTTTTCACTGTCAGCTGTTTGCACTACACTGAGTGTGTGGTACTTGAATCCACTGCGGACTCGCAGACGTACACCCCCTCAGCAACTTGCTGATGATCTGTGGCCCTGTTTATGAAACGAAACATAAACACACGGTATCAGCCCCCACTCTAAAATTTGTTGCATGTGCAGCTGTTTTTACCTTATGTCCTGTGTAGAGCAACCTGAATAGCAAGCCTCCTACATATACTGATTGCAACAGGACCAACTCCACTATGCACAAGAACACATTCATCGTGCACTGTGCTCCGATTACCGTAATTACTCGAATCTAATGCGCACCTTTTTTCCGGTTGAGCGAGTTCATAAATCGCATGCGCGTTAGAATCGAGTACGAACAAAAAAATTACGGCCAATCTATTGCCATCGGCAAATCTAAAATGGCCGCCCCCTACGTGCGTCGGCATGGCGCGTCGTCCATTTCTGCCTATGTGTTTCTCATGTGCGGCACTTCGTACGTGTGCTGAGGTGTTCGTCATCTAGTAGTGCATTAGCATCGACGGCGTGGAATGGCCGACTGCAAAAACTCGAGTGCACCATGATGCCGCTTTTAAAAGAAAAGTCATTGCGTGTGCAGAAACGGACGGAAATCGGGCCGCATCGTGGTCGTTCGGAGTTCCCGAAACGTGCGTGCGGGACCGGCGGAAACAAAAGCAGAAGATTTTCGACAGCAAAGCTTTGCGCAAGGGCTTCAGTGGACCACAGCAGGGTCGGTTTCCGCAAATTAAAGAGCTGCTCGGCGAGTATGTGCTTTAGCAGCGAGCAGCACAGCGGCCCGTGACGGCAGAACTGCTCCAAGTGCGGGCTATGCAATTAGTCTTAGAAAAATGTCTAATGCGGAGCCAGTTTTAAGCGAGCAGGTGCTGGCTAACTAACTTTATGAAGAGGAAAGGCTTATCCCTCCGAAGGGGAACATGCATATGCGAAAAGTTTTGCGGAGGAGTACGATGAAAAGCTTCACAGTTTTCAGAGGTTCGTCCTAAACTTGCGGCGCAACAACGGCTACCTGCTTGGGCAAATCGGGAATGCCGATCAGACGCCTCTTTACTTCGACATGCCTGGCACCACAACCGTCGAGAAGAAGGGGGCGAAGCAAGTTCGCGTGCTGACATCGGTCCACGGTAAAACTACAGTGACGGCAATGCTCTGTTACACGTCAGATGGGCACAAGCTTCGCCCGTACCTCATATTTAAATGGAAGACGCTCCCAAAAGGAGTCGTTTTTTCGAGTGGTGTGATCATGCGGGCCAGCGAGAAAAAATGGGTGCGCGTTGCAATCGATGTCTTACGTTTTTTGTTTTTTTTTTTTCGCGGTGGAAATCGGGTGCGCGTTACAATCGAGGGCGCAATAGAATCGAGTAAATACGGTACGTCACCACACTTTGCACCTGCGTATGGTACACATTGTTACAAATGTAATGGATCCCAGGCTACATGCTCATCTGCCACGATAAATTCATCATTTAAAGGAGCACTGACATAATTTTCTAATCGAGATCTGCTCATCATTCGATTGCTCGGTATGCGTAGGTCCTTTACGTTATTGGCACGCATTATTGGTCACATGGTCATTGATGCAAACATGTAACCAATAAAAAGTTTGGTTTATTGGTCACGATGTAGGAATACGGGTGCATAGCAAGTGTGAAGTTCAGATGGCGTGCACGTTTCTTCTTCCTGTAGGAAATGTAAATGTGCATATATTTCCTCTCAGCAGTGTGTCCCACTAGGTAGATAAATGCCATTAGTGCACTACTGTTAATTCAATTCCTTGTTAACAATGTACTAAACTATGCAAACTAAACTACTTACGGGAACATATTGCTGCTTAGAAAAGTATCATCATCATCATTATCATCAGCCTGACTGCGCCCCACTGCAGGACAAAGGCCTCTCCCATGTTCCGCCAGTCAACTCTGTCCTTTGCCTGCTGCTGCCACTTTATACCCACAAACTTCCTAACCTCATCTACCCACCTAACTTTTGCCACTTGCCTTCTTTTGGAATGCAGTCTGTGATCCTTAATGACCAGCTTTTATCTTTCCTTTGCACTCCGTGCCTTGCCATGGCCATTTCTTTTTTTTTTTTTGACTTCTAGAAAAGTATTGGGAATGTTTCTGGTTGTGACTTCAGATGGTGTGTGCGGGATTCTTGGTGAGCTGCCAGCTCTTGATGAGATCACTTGCTACATGACAGTGGCAGAACGTGCAGAAAAAGTGTCGCTGTCATGGTTACTAGCGCACTGACTGACATTCCCACATTTCAATATGCTCATATATACCCCATAAAGTGGGACTGTGGGATGACTGCAACTGTAGCTTACTTAATTGAGCGTTGGAAACGTTATTTGTAGCTCACAGGTACCCTGCCAGCAGCAAAGTTATCTTTCTGTCCGCTTTTTCGTCTTCACACTTGCGTTGCACTTACTACCAATAGTGTCCCCTATACTTGGCATCAGTTTCTCTGAGTTCTCAATAATGCTGTATCTAACTTAGAAAAACGAGCCCTGAAATTTGCACTTGTTAAAATTGTTCCACTCAGCTGAAAAAGGGGGGTTATGACCACTCTCCGCCAGGGTCCGACGCAAGCACTGCAGGTCTTGTCACCGTTTTTAGATGTAACGGTTAGGAATAAGCATGTTAGACACTCGTAGCTAATACACAAGTGCGAACTGTCATTATTTCAGACTGTAAGGGCTGGTAAAACTTAAAGGCGGAACCAACCACTGATCTTTGTGGACCCAGCTTTGTATGGTGCATTGGAAAGGCTTCTCCTCACTACTGGTTGCAACTGCTTGGGCTCATACCAGTAGTGCGTGGATATTTCGTAAGCAGAGTTTTCCTCTCCTAAGAGCCTCTCAAAAAGTTGGCGCCTCCTTCAGCAGTGGTGAGATGCGATGCTGATAGCCCTCCTCATAAACTCTTCATTAAGCTGAACATCCTGCTTTCACAGGAGTGAGTGCAACTGTGGTAAGCTACTTTAAATTTTACATTTTTGACTGTTTGTGAGCCTGAAGAGCTGGGAGCATAAGTTTAACAACAGTTCATCACCGTGCGAATTTCCTCTAACGCTTCGTGAGCCAGGAACTTTGCTTCTCCGAACCGTCAGCAGATGCTCCTAATCTCTCGGCTAACAACTTTCATGCTGCAGCTCATGAGCATAGGATCATATGTCAAGTGAAGGCGGTGCCACTATTCTCACTGGAAACTAAAGCCTGTCTGTGCAGTTTAAGGTGGGAAACATTGTAATAGAAAAAGTGTAGTGTGTGTCATCACGAATATAAACTTTATTAATTTATAGACCAGTAGAAGGTCACGTAATCACACTAGACTGCATCCTTGCATTTTTGTTCTTTAGGTTATGAGGAGTCCTTTTTTGGGACTCTTTATTTCATTTATTTATTTATTTAATGCTGTCAACCCTCATAGAGGGTCATGAGAGGGGAGAATACACTTGCATATACAGTACACTCTCATTAAACAAAACCTGAAGGGACCAAGAAAATGTGTTCCGTTTAAGAGGAGTTGCGTTTAGTGAGAAATTTACAGGGATGCAGAGTCCTAGTACGAAACCAAATGTACTAGGGGCAGTTCTGTTTAGCCAGCAATGTTGTTCAACACATCTTGGTTTTCTGAGCGTCTGCTTTATGAAAAATGTACCTGGTACATCAGTCTTGGCACCTCACAATGAAATCTGACATTTCTTTAAATACCTACTGTTCACAACAAAACCAAAAAGGCTGTGGCATTTTTCAAAACATCTGCAATGAACAATAAATCGCTTATATCGACACTGAAAAACTAACTTGACCACTCTCGCAAATCCACCTCGACAGCTTTTTTCGAATTTGGGGACATTATAATACAACTGTAGTATATGGCAGTTTGTTCCACATTTCTATGACATTTGGGGAGAAAGATTATCGAAATGTGTCGGTATTCTTCGGTATGGTTTTATGACACAGTTATGGTCAGTTAAGGGTGCTTCTTTTGAATTTGACTAAAAATGTAACTCAGCGTCTGAGAAAATGGGGCTAACTTTAGTTAATATGATAGACTATCTTTCCTGCTTGTACAATTCATTTGTGTTCTAAATGTTTGTCTGTCCTTTTAATGAATAAGCATGTGTCAAGAATCTTGCTTTGCTGTAGTTGAACTGTGATAGTGGCACTGGCATTGTTCGTGCTGCATTCCGCTGTGAATGCGCTTCACTTTGTTGTACTAGTTGTCCTGACTGAGCGATGCAACGTTGTCCCCATTGCATCACTAGTGGACGAGGTCGGCGAGGACGTGAGCGAGTGCTACAGTGACCGGACACTGGTCCTAGTCAATCACCAGTCCACGGCCGACGTGCCGCTGCTCATGGCCTCCTTCCAAGGGAAGCGCTCGGTGACCGAGCACCTCATGTGGATCATGGACCGGCTGTTCAAGTACACAAACTTTGGTGCCGTCTCCATGACCCACGGCGACTTCTTCATTACCCAGGTAAGGAAGTCTCAGGCACGCTACATTGGAAATTGCGGCGTTCATTCCACATGTCAAAATGACGTATGGACTGACAAAATTAATGGAACAGTTCAAGGGGCTTGTTTTTTTTTTAATGACGTACACAGCTAAAAAAACAGACAGAGAATTGGGCCGAGAAAAGTACATTGCACATTGTTCGTGGTTTCCTAAATGTAACGAAATGATCTTTCCCTGAGTTAAAACTAAAGTTGACAAAAAAAATTGCTTTTCCATCAGTGGGTTCTAAGCCCTAAACCTTTGAACCGTTCTTTCTTCAGTATTAAAAAAAAAAAAACGGCTCCTTTCATACCCACCTAAATAATACACTTGCCGAGTTGCAGTGAGAGTCCTGTACTCCTGCTGTGACCCTCTTCATCGGCAAAAAATACCTATTAAAAAAAGTTTGTTTTTGCTCGCCTTTATTTTTCCGCACGTTTTTCACGGTCTATGAGGGTCCGGGAAATCGGATGTCGACACTGTGTGCTCAATGCCTGCAAGTGTTAGCCAGTGCCACTAAAGAGTCCAGGTTGTAGACTTGGTGCAGTAGGCATATCAAGTCATGGTCATTTGGTCATGGAGAGCAAGAAAACTATCAGGTAGTGTAACCTTGTTGTTAAGGTTTGACTTGCATTGCGTGATGTGCAAATACGCAAGACGACAGGGCTCTAAGCCAGGCGCCTGCCCGTACACCAAGCTCTCAGTTTTTCGGGAAAAAAAAAACGAAAAAAAAAAAAAAAAAAAACGGGCTCGTGTGTATATTTTCGTGAAACAGTGCATAAAACGAGAAGACTGGAAGAAACACACATGAAAGAGCACCCTAGCGAAAATTCTGATAGAAAAACTGATAGGCTATCAGGTTATTGACAGTTTTATCAGTCTATAGGTGTATCAGTCTATAGGTGTATAAGTATAGGTGTATAAGTCTATGAGTGTATCAATCTATGAATGTATCAGTCTATGAGTGTATCAGTCTGAGTGTACCCGCCTATAAGTGTAGCATTCTACTCTGATAGGCCCACAAGCGAATCGGTGCTTAGCCAACTGGCAGGTGCACCGCTACATCAGAGCAAGCAGGACACAAATACGAACACAGAAATCAAACAAAATATTTTATTTGATGTGCCATTCTTTGGTTAATCTTTTGATTTCATTAAGTCATTAATTTTGTTTGCCAAAGCTTTATTGAGGAGCTTCTTCATTTGTTCAACCTCTCCAATCAGAACGGTGTGCTTCAAAAAAATGGTTGAAGAAATCTGCATGATCAAAAACAAAGGAAGTTAAAGCACTTATTAAGCGACAATTATGTGCACGCTAAATAGAGGAGTCAATATGACAAGGAAATAAGTAGGAGTGCTTCTGCCTCTCTAATATTGTTTAAAATTAGTTTGTGGATTCTTGCATAAAAGTACCCAGCTCCAGTAGGCAAAAGCTACACTTGAAGCTTTAGTAAGCAATTGTAACACAAGTTGGCCGTGAAACCTCGGCTGATTACGTGCAAAAATGGAGCCACCAACTTCCATGAATTTTCGTCAGATTGCAAAATTTCACCTACCTGAAAACATAGCATATGTTTCTTTTTCCAAGGGAGATTTCGCCTCCCCTTTAGACCGATTGGAGGCTGCGCCAGTAACACTTCAACCGACTAGGCCTGCTGTATAAAAAATAGCAACGGCCGCCTTGCGAACAAAACGGGTCTGTCTTTTCAAGCCCAAGGGGTGATTGTACAACCTCTTGGGAACGGCAATTCCTTTGCTTCGATGCACCCATAAAACAAGTCAATGATGGGCACACATTAGTTTGTCAATGCACATTTTCTCATTAAAGCAAAGCAATATATCTTCAAGACAAAGCATACTAGAGTTTTATGATACCTCTCTGTCAGTGTCACATAATTGATAAGCGGTGCAGCCTCCCTCACACTTGAGTGGGCTACTTCAGGGCTGTCCGTGGTCGCTGTGGTGGTTCTAGCGTCGCAGCACATAGTAGTGGCAAAGGTGCAAGTCGTTTCTGTTTTTGAGGCTTGCGGCTGCAACACCCGCAAAGAACAAGGTTCTTTGCTGCAATGAAAAAGTAGAGTGTGCAGAAATAAAGTATATTGCACCCTTAATTGTCACGGTAGCATCCTAGGTGTGCATGGTCAAATAATATAGTAGTAAGACGGTAAGTTGGGCCAGTTGGTAAGGATTCATCGTGAACTTACTTACAGCGCAACACCAGAAAAAATACAGGACAGGGAAGGAGCAAAAGAGAAAGAAAAGACGGCGCTGACTCACAACTGTTGTTTATTGGAAAAAACGGGGTGAAAAGTGTATATATAGGTACTGGCAGCCTACACCACAACATGCGCAGAATATGAGGTGCACCGAGGTAGAATTATCACACTCATGGCAATAAACAAGATTGGGGCAGTGAACACAGGAAAGTGCGCTTCTTTTAGTCTTCCCGTTTTACGCACTGTTTTGAAAAGATAAAGCCGTACCAAAAAGCTGGAACCCATACACTTTTAAAGTTCTTGTGTATATTATATAGAAGTAGTAGCACCAAAAATTGTTGATACGTAGTGCTGTGATCAAAACAAAATGTGCATTTCTCAAAAGGACGTTTATATGACGTTAAGAAACATATTCACAGTAATATGTTTACTTCTAGAAGATATAGTAAGGGCTGTGTACTTTTATGTAACCCATAGCTAGTTGCAAAATACAGTGTTGAGATTTAGCAGACAATTTGTGTATAACAGCCATGAAAGGCTCACGCGGTACTTCTGTATTAAATATTTCATTCAAAATGAATAAATATAAAAAATTTAAAAGCTAGTAAAGAAGCTTTATATTTTAGTGTTTAAAGTGCTCCAGAAGGTCGCTGCATTATAGCATAGAATCTTCCCCTTCTATAAGTACTATCTTTTAGACTACTCTAGTGGAGGAATGGAATGCGTTTTCCGCAACCAAATTGTAGTCAATCTTTCATGACCCTTAGTTATGAGAAACAAGTTTCCAACGTATTTTCGGCATCCAGCTGGCTATTGCTGCACATTGTGTAGAACACTGCGACTCTTTGGGGGACACGCATTCCGCATTAAAGTGTCACCACACTGGATTACGGTGTCTATCGCTGGAACCACTGGCAAAGCAGGAATTCCGCTTGTGTAGGCTGACACCAGAAGTTTGTCTGAAACATCATTCCTCATAGTTTAGGCTTCTGCTTTAGTGTGTCTGCAGTCAGTTTGTAAAGACTCTAACCGCGCACGCAGGGCAAGGACACTCGCAACACCCAGTTGCAGCGGCTCAGGGACCACATTGCGGAGGTGTACCTTCGTCGCGGGCTCAAGTGGATTGTTATCTTTCCCGAGGGTGGCTTCCTTCACAAGCGGCGGGCCACCAGCCAGCGGTACGTGCTTCCGAGTTTTCCATCGCTCTCGGAATGTACAGTCGCGCCCAATGAGAGTTGCAGCTTGTGGCCAGTGGTCAAAGCGGCGCCAATTTTCCGCAGTGGTGCCTAAACGGAAAACTTAAAAATGGCATAGACCCTGTTGTTTGCAAAACCAGTGTAGGGTTGGGGTCTCTTCACCATGGCTCCAGTGTTGCTACTCGAATTGCCCACTGCTGTGCAAGCCTGTTTTAAGAGGACCTTGAGGGCCGTAGAATGTCTGGACGATGTGATAGTTTAATACTTTAGAGCTTGTAAGATTTCAGTGTTATGGACAGTGGAATTTTAGTGATGGAGATGAACACTTAGGCCTCCAGCGATGGCACTAACTGGGGGTTACTGTGTTGGCATTACGGCTCTGGTGCGATGATGTCACAACTCCTCAGTCTAAGTATGTTACTAGTACTCGAGTGCTAATAATAATGGCTCCTGTGGATTTGAAAATAATTGTGCATCGATTGGTTAAGGTTGCTAGAAGTGGATACCAAAATTCTGTGTGCGGCTAGTGTATCGCACTTGCTCATATAGTTGCGAGCTTAAAATTTGCCACCTTGTAGACAGAAACCTCAATTTTAGCTGCAATCTACCTCTTGTATTATCCAGAAACTATTGGTCTATTTTTTAATATATACCTTCGTATACCCTTGGGGCTCCACGGCAGTATTTTATTTATTTATCAGATACTGCCGGCTGCCTTTGGGAGCCATGGCAGGAGTGGGTACATCGCATTACAATGTACAATGCATCGTTTCAGTCGACAACAGAAATAATAATAAAAAAAGAAAGAAAAACAGAACAAATGCACATGTGTCTAATGATAACAACACATGCGGCCGAATGTGAACTCAAGACGCGAACATAAAAAACAAGCCCAACAGCATTTGCAATAACACACTGAGGTAGGACACAGCAATGACACGTACAGGATTGAGTGATTGAACACCCAAGACTCGTACAACACTTCAGAACACGAGTGAAACGACCAAGGAAACAAATAAGCATGTGAACCGAAGGACAGCTTACGTCAACAGAATACCGCGAAATAAATGGTCACCAGCATACATTTCAAGCTGTAAAAGAGAAAAAATGACAAGAACTGCACATAACATCACAGATAATCTTGCACGGCATTTGTGAACGCATGAACTGATGATAGGCCGACTATGTCGCATGGAAGCTCGTTCCATTCTGCTATCGTTCGAGGAAAAAACAAAAATTGATACACCTTCGTTTTAACTCGTGGCCTTACAATCGTCTTACCGTGCTTCCATCTTTTTGGCCTTGCGCTGTTATTCTGCATGTAATCAGTGAAGCCCATTCTAATGTTACCGTTTACAATATTGTAAAGCATTTGCAGTCGCTGCAGTTTCCTGCGTGATTCTAGCGTTGGAAGTTCGCTTAAATGTCTAAGGTTAGTAATGGACACAGTGCCTGCCGTAAGAGTTGAAGATGAATCCTAGTGCTTTTTTTTTTTTGAACGCGTTCAATGCAATCGATGTCACATTTGGTATGCAGGTCCCAAACTACGTCCGCATATTCTAATAGCAGTCTAATGTCGTGTAGGCCACAAGCTTAGTTTTAGGAGTGCAATGCGTCATGCGATTTCTTAGCATGTAAAGTTTTCTCAAAGCCTTGGAAACAATGAATTGCACATGACCACTCCAGCTTAGCGTAGAACTGGTATGCACACCCAAGTATTTAAATTGGTCTACTGAAGCTAATGGAGCATTATTGATGCTATAGGTGCAGACCAGCAGCTCCTTCTTGCGTGTAACACTCATCTGAACACACTTGGAAACGTTTAGGCGCATCTGCCATGTTGAGCACCAGTTGCTAACAGCTGCTAAGAAGTTGTTTAGTATTTGTTGATCTTTCACTGACTGAATGTGCATGTATGCAACGCAGTCGTCTGCAAATAAACGGCAACATACTAGTGACGTAATCTGTAAATCATTAATATAGATTAAAAAGAGTAATGGGCCGAGCACCGAACCGTGAGGGGAACGCCTGAAAGAACAGATGCAAATTCTGAGTCCGAATTGCCTATGTGAACAAACTGCCTACGCCGTGTAAGATACAAGTCGAGCCACTGTACTATCCGAGGATTGTCAAAAAGGCATCGGATCTTTAACATTAAATGTCGATGTCACACACGGTCGAAGGCTTTTTCAAAATCAAGAAAAACCATGTCAATCTGTCTGCCTTTGTCAAGCATTACCATTAGATCATTTACAGTGTGAATAAGTTGCGTCGTAGTGGACAAATCGCGCCGAAAACCATGCTGACTAAAAAAATAATTGTTGTCCTCTAAGAAAGAACAGATATACTTAAATATGAAATGTTCCAAAACCTTGCTACAAGCGCACAGTAGCGAAACTGGTCTGTAGTTGATTACTTTAAGTTTGTCCATATACTTTCTTTAAAGATTATGTTCAGATACTTCGCGCACCATTCGGCGTATCTGCGCAGGAACATATTTGGTATGCCATCCGGGCCGATAGATCATTTAGTGTCTAATTCCAGTAGCGCCAAAAAAATGCTGCTTTCGTTGATTTCTATATCCGGGATAGCATAATTAGTTTTCGGATATGACGAGGGCTGAACGGTGGTGCGAAAAAACAGACGAAAAGTAGTCATTAAATGTATTGGCTATACAGTTACTGTCATCGGTGATAGTGTCATCAAGTTTCATTTTGCTAATAGCCTCATTCTTATTCGTTAGGTGTAATAAGAACTTTCTTGGGTCATTTGCCAAAAAATGATGCATTTTGACGTTGAAGAAATGGAACTTGGATAGCTTTATCTTTGTGCGCAATTAATCTCGGAGTAACTGTGGGGACACCGCCCCTCTGTTCCCAGCCGAGCGATGTAATCGCTTGACACGGCGTTTCAACTGTAATATTTCGCGAGTGATCCAGGGATTCCGCCGACTACGCTTTTTTTGTCTAGTAGGGACATAATTGCTAATGCATTTATTAACAACAGCTTGAAATGAATCCACAAATCTTGGACAGTAGAATTTCCAGTAGCATAAATATGCTGAAAAATATCAAAATCTTCTTCCAGAAGGTCTAGTACACTCTCATCTTGAGCACAGTTAAAATCAGGGAATTTTTTGTGATATTTTCGCCCTTTATCCTTGAAACTCGCATACGACCAGCAAAAAGGACGATGTCGTGATCGGATAGCCCAGGCAAATATGACATGTCAAGCCTACAGCACTAATATTTTCCGAAACGAAAAAAGTTCAAGAACTGTGCTAGAAGTAGCTGATACACGCGTTGGCTGATCCACAAGCTGCTTCAGACGAAACGAGAAAGCAATATCAAGCATCAACTCGGAATGATGACGGAACACACAGTAGGTCCCAGTTAATTTTTGGAAGGTTGAGATCACCGCACATGATGACATTAGCATTGCTTTTGCAGTGCTCATACATGAAATCATGCAGTTTTTCTAGAATTGAAAGATCTGCATCCGGCGGTCTGTAAATTGCACCAACGAAAACACTGTATTGGCACAGGCAAACACGAATCCATAATATTTCTACGTTGGTATTGTGAGATATCACTGTGTACTCAATGTTTTTCTTCAGCACAACTGCGACGCCACCGTCCCTTGCCCCCCGGTCGGGGTGAATAATCTCGTGCGACCTTGGCACGATGTCCTCATCAGGAACGTTATCGTGAAGCCACGTCTCAGTTATTACCGTCATGTCTGGGTTATATGCTAGAAGAAGGCCCTCCAAATCAGCAGATTTGGGTAAAATGCTTCTTGCATTAATATTCATAACGGAAAACGTATTCTGGGTGGCGCATGGTGGCAGTGGCGTTGTGGCGTTTTTTTGAGATGCCCGATCATTACGCAGGGAAGAATCGTGTCATTTCAAGTGTAATGGAACCATCATGTTGCTTCCTTCATTCCATCTGAACAGCTTTGTGTTGATCTTTACTTTATCAAACAAAACAGCAATCTTTTCACTTCTCTATTTTCCTTCGTAACTTCCCATAGTTTTTTCTGGATTGCCTGAATACGAGGGGAAAAATCCTCGGAAATACTATAGTTGGTACCTTTAAGTTTCCTGCAATTTTTCAGTATTCTCGGCTTGTCTCTCCCGTCCACTAACTTGAAAATTACTGGACGGTCCTTGCTCGGATTCGGCTTCCCCAATTGGTGGATACATTCAATTTTAACGTCATGAACACTCAAGGTATCACGAAGTATTTTTTGAGTGTAGTGAAGAGGAATGCCCACTACTGCAGCGACATCGACACGTGGGCGCGAGGCACGAGCTAGGACTGCCTGATTGCTGCTGCGACGCTGCCCGTATACTCGGCCTGCTCTTGCTGCTTCGATACCGACGCCGCTACCGCTGCTTACCTTGCATTTACATTATATGAGTAACTTCTTCCAACGACTCGAGTTGTTCTCCCTGAGGCTTCGTAATACCATATATAATAAGGTTGTTTCTTCTACTTCTATTCTCTAAATCGTCTACCTTCAAAATTAGTTGATCAACCGTCTTCTGCAGGTGGTCAACTCTAGATGTGTAATCGCACACAGTGGACGAAAAGCCGTCCAGTTTCGTTTCAATTGATGTCAGCTTTTGCGTTGTTTCGTTCAACTTCAGGATACCAGTACTGATGGTTGCTTTAATTTCCTTCATATCCTTCATTAATGACCTGAGCATTTCTTCCGTGTTAGGACCCGGGTTTTCCTCTACGTCACCACAACAGGTGAACAAGTCAACGAAACGATGATATACGGCAAGCATATTTGAAAGCAGTGACCGTGGGCACGGTAGAAGCAAAAGACACACATTATTGGTTTTGTAGCAGGAAACTGAACGGTTGTCTCTCACCTGTACAAAGAACAAAAAGGGGTTTGATGAATGTGCGTCCATTGTGCCTCCACCGTGCCCACTGGCCCAGTCAGCTACGGCGACTGTTCTTATACCAGATGCACACAATGACGTCGACGAGAGTGGCGCCAGTAGTCTTCCTAATGGTGCAGCACAGATGCGCATGTCCAGGTCAGCTGCGTTATCCTTCTGTGTATCGATGTGCCAGTCGAAGATACGTTCCGTCGCATTCGGCCCAGTGCGGTTGACACGTGTGTCGCCTGACGAGGGGATCAAGGTGATGGCAAGCACGGTCTGTACAAAGAACAAAAAGGGGTTTGATGAATGTGCGTCCATGGTGCCTCCACGGTGCCCATTGCGTGTGTGTTTACACTGAAATGGCAACAAATTGAATATAAAGAACTACGTAGGTGAAACAAAAATTGGAAGGAAAAAGAAACACCGTATATAGTTCTAGAAACCGGTGAAAAAAATAATGCCATATTCACTCAATTGTAATCGGCTTTCTTCCAGAATTTTGCAGCTTGAAGTCAACCCTCTTGTTATAATCCAATACTGAAATACCTTTTTTATTTGGACATAAAGAAAAGTCACCCCTCGTGTTTTATAATAGCAGTCGTGTTGCAATCAAGAACATATGAACAACATATAAACTTGCAATTCTCAAATGTTTGCAGGATTGTTCAGGGACACAATATCATCAGGAGGATGACATTGCTTCATTTCACAGTCATGAACTTATTTTGTGGGTGAAATCACTTCACGCATTCTTGCCTCCCATAGCTAGGAGTACCTGGATACATTAGGAAATGCTTGCGCAGAAAGCTTTGCAGGATGGAGTGAATTTGAATTGAAAATCTTTAACGTTTTTTAGACCTTTCTGTTGTCTCAGTTTCATCTTATTTCCTGAAGACCTCTCCTGGGGGTTCTACATAAGGGTTGGATACACAAAAATTTTACAAATTGCAATCATGTATATTAATTGCATGATATTAATTGCATGAATTGCAGCACTCGGGATAGTTGCTTGTTGGGCAATTCGGTACGTACTTCGTAAACTACAAAAGCCACAAAACTTCAAAATCGGGAAAAGCAGAGTAGTAGAAACAGAGACAGAGAGCAAAGACATGGCACTAACAACTGACATTTATTTGGGAAAAAGCTTTCCAAGTCTGTACAAGGCATGCGCAGAAAAACCAAGAAAACAAAACGCCAAGCAAGCTAATCTAAGCAAATCACCTCTGTGCTAGAAACAAATATTCTTTTCTGGTGAGATAAACTGAAGCTGCGCTAACACATTTGTCAGGACCCAGTTTTCAGAAATGGAATGCCTCAATAATCTCCCACTCACGCTTACCTAAAATTGTCACATTATCAAAGAGGGGTGTACAACCACGACTTGCAGGGCAACGGCAAGTTGCCACCAGTGCCCGAGGGTAGATTTTCGTGCTTCCTCGGCCGAAAATTGACACATCGACCGGATTGTCAAACGTGAAACCTGTCACAAATTAACGGAATGCCATACACCATGCATATGTGACACGCACAGTATTTCTTCACATGTTTTATGTCGCTCGTACTGCTTATCGTGCCGAGCTGCGCAACCCTCTTGCAAAGACCCGCGAGTTTGCTAGGTGCAGAACAGACTAGTAGGACATCGACCCTGGCTGCAATCCTCTTCTATTTGTGCGAACTGCCATGTATGTACAGCATAACCACATAATTCTGCTGTTCTTGAACACCTTTATCACTTCTGTGTTCCCCAACACCACCATCAATTCTGTGTTTCACATTGTGTTTTACATTGTTTCTATGGCTCTGCTTTTTCTGATTTCGACATTTTGTGGCTTTTGTAGTTTACTAGGTAATGCACTGTTACACGTTGCAGAAGTCGTACAGGTAATAGTGGCAGTTTTCAGAGAAGGGTGTTCTCATCCACTTGATGCACATGGAAAGAAGGTAGAATATGTCGGGGTGTGACTGCGTGGTCTGTGACTGGTTAGGCATGATCAATGCTCTAAGGTGTGTGGCCTGCAGGAGTGATAGTTTGTCCATGTTCAGTCCTGGTTGCATGAAAAATGGTGTTTTTTTTAAGTTTTCAAGTTGCTTTCTGTTTGATGTGGTTCCCTGAGCAGCACAAATAGTTGAGCTCGCACACATTTTCTATCAGTTTTTTTTTTAATTCAGTGCTCTTTATGTGAGGGCTGCACATTGTCCATTCCGCCTCAGTTTCTGCTGCTAGCGTGTTGGACAGACTGCTAAAAAGTTTGCCCTCGTACTTGCACGCGTCGCTGCGAAGGATGTGGAAAAACTAAAGTCTTCTGTCTGAAGGCACTTAATGAGATATGGACGCCATCTGGCACTAATGTAGCGAAGCAATGCTTTTTAGAAGGCAGAGCAACTGGTAGGTGGCAGCACAGTGTTGTTTTAGCGAAGCGTAAGAAACGCCCATTTTTTTCATTCACAACGTCGCATTGTCAGCACTGCATAATAAACACTGCTGTCTTCAGAATTGCCTACCTATGCATTTCAGAAATACACTCTACGTAGTACTGTTGTGCCCAAATATGTTGAACCCAAATAAGTGCACTGTTTGCTTTTTGATTGACAATGTCCACAAGCATGAACGCAGCCAGCGGGTCAAGAAGATTGCGTGCTGAGCAAGGGATTGAACTTTTCCCATGCAGCTGAATTGATTGACAGACAAACAAAGAGACAGACTGAGATTTATGCATTGAATTATTCTGAGAAAGACGGTACCCTGCACGAGGCAGCAGAGTGTTGGCGTGACTGTTCTTGAAACGTGGTGCTTTCTGTGCAGGTACGCCAGGGCCAATGGCTACCCCGTCCTGGAGCACGTGACGCTGCCACGTGTGGGTGCCATGAAGACCGTCCTCGAGACACTCTCCTCCGAGAACCTTGAGAAGACTTGCAAGGGTGAGAGAGAGAACAGTGTTGCTCATTAGGGACCTTTGAATGCTGAGCTTGCAATTCTACTTCTTCACTGGCTTTGTACGTTTAAACAGTAGGTGCACTGTGAGTGGCACATTTATTTAGGAGATTACCTCATATGCCTTACTAATTGCAAAAGTAACCATCTGCATAGCTGTCGTAGTCAAAACAAAAGGTACAAAAAATCCGTTGGCGATAATTTTTCTCTTGAACATTACAATAAAATGACTTGATGATGATTATGATCAGATGGCCAAACCGAATGGCTTTCACCCTGAATGCTTAAGGGCCCTTCGGAGTTTTCTAACGCAGTCGAACTCGGTAACTTTTTTTCTTTTTAAGCCTATCTAGTACCACTCATTTCTGCAGGAAGTAGAAAAAAGAAAATGGCAGACTGACAATAATAACCGATGCGTAATGTCATTGCTAGTACACTGTAGGCCCTGCCTAGTCTCCAACGGCGCCGCTACTGATGCTCATGATGGCAATGGAGGCTCTCGATTTCAGCTGCACGTTGTTGCAAGACTTCCGCATGTTTTTCGGCCAATGACCGCTATATAAGATGATGGTCGACTTTTCATCACGTTTTCCTGAAAAAAAGTTTGACCTATATTCCGGTTTTTACGGTAGTTGGGAGCTTCTAGAATGTTATCAGCGATTGTACCCCAACTGGAAATATCACCTTAAATATATGTGTACATTTTCTGAAACTTGACACATGCAGTGGCAATTATCGTGAAAAGTGCATTGGCAATTACCATGAAAAATGTGATGTATGTAAGCAGAATTGATACGGTTCACTTGGAGAGTGTATTCAAACTATTAACAGCAGTGTTTGCCTCTTTCATCCTAATGTGGGTGCTGGTTTGCACAATGAGTCTGTTCATTAGTTTACATTGTTACCATTTTTTATTTTATTTAACCATCATATTAGACATAAGCATGTGCAAGGTTCCCTATCAGGGTGTGGGGGTGGCAATGGGTCAGTCCGGCGCCCACTTTCCCTCACAGGCTTAAGAATTGGAACTAGTCATATGCCAATATGACTTTTTTTGGTTCGAACTGTAGTGGAAGCAAATCTGAATAGCTTTGTTGTAGGAGTTTTGTTGTGATGGGGTGAAAGTTGCATGCAGTGAAATGCATTACTAGGCTTGTGCGAATAGTGAATTTCTAGGCTTGTGCGAATAGTGAATTTCAAGTTCAAAACGAGTGGTGATTTTAGTTGAATAATTCATAGTAGAGTTTGAATAGTATATACGGTAATTACTCGAATCTAACGCGCACCTTTTTTTTTTTTGTTAAGCGAGTTCATAAATCGAATGCGCGTTAGAATCGAGTACAAACAAAAAAATTGCGGTCAATCTATTGCCATCGGCAAATCCAAAATGGCCGCCCCCTACGTGCGTCAGCATGGCGCGTCGGCCATTTCTGCCTATGTGTTTCCCATGTGCGGCACTTCGTACGTGTGCTGAGGAGTTCGTCATCTAGTAGTGCATTAGAATCGACGGGGTGGAAGGGCCGACTCCCAAAACTCGAATGCACCACGATGCCGCTTTTAAAAGAAAAGTCATTGCGTGTGCAGAAACGGACGGAAATCGGGCCGCATCGCGGTCGTTCGGAGTACCCGAAACGTGCGTGCGGGACCGGCGGAAACAAAAGCAGAAGATTGTCGACAGCAAAGCTTCACGCAAAGGCTTCTGTGGACCACAGCATTGTCGGTTTCCGCAAATTAAAGAGCTGCTCGGCGAGTATGTGCTTTAGCAGCGAGCAGCACAGCGGCCCGTGACGACAGAACTGCTCCAAGTGTGGGCTATGCAATTAGTCTTAGAAAAAGGTCTAATGCGGAGCCAGTTTAAAGCGAGCAGGTGCTGGCTAACTAACTTTATGAAGAGGAAAGGCTTTTTCCTCCGAAGGGGAACATGCATATGCGAAAAGTTTTGCGAAGGAGTACGATGAAAAGCTTCACAGTTTTCAGAGGTTCGTCCTAAACTTGCGACGCAACAACGGCTACCTGCTTGGGCAAATCGGGAATGCCGATCAGACGCCTCTTTACTTCGACATGCCTGGCACCACAACCGTCGAGAAGAAGGGGGTGAAGCAAGTTCGCGTGTTGACATCGGTCCACGGTAAAACTACAGTGACGGCAATGCTCTGTTACACGTCAGATGGGCACAAGCTTCGCCCGTGCCTCATATTTAAATGGAAGACGCTCCCGAAAGGAGTCGTTTTTTCGAGTGGTGTGATCGTGCGGGCCAGCGAGAAAAATGGGTGCGCGTTGCAATTGATGTCTTTTTTTTTTTTTTTTTTCGCGGTGGAAATCGGGTGCGCGTTACAATCGAGAGCGCGGTAGAATCGAGTAAATACGGTATATTATATGCATGAAGAAAATTGGGCATATTTTTATGGTGTAACTAACCTACACTATTTTTCTTTTTGAATTAAAGCAAGGTCTATACAAATGCCATTTTTTATTATTCAATATAAGTGGAAACAACATTGAACAGTAACAGGATTTGAATTTCGGTTGAATGCAAATGATAACTGGTAAAATGTTATGTTTTAAAATTTACTACACTTAGAGCATATAAGCTAGTATAACAAGCTTTTCAACTTAAAAAAAATGAATTGATGTGGGGGTACTAATATGTTCATTTAACTTTATGTTCATTCAACGACAGTGCGGATTTCCTCAAGATAGGTATTTTCACAGCTTGGCACCCATTTACTGCAGTGAAGGCCTCTTTACAGAAGGTTATATGCGGGCTAATATACATTCATTCGTTCATTTCAAACACTACAAAATATTCAATGATTTAAATTTGGATAGAAGTGAATTCAAATATTCAAAATATTCGAGTATTCACACGAGTCTATGCATTCATTATGCTTAAATTTTTCTGTATGTAGGCCATAAAAGCCCATGTACTTGCTGTTTAACCTTTCAAAAAGTAATCGAGGTACAGGTACACTTTAACTTTGAAGTGTGGCTTTGGGGCATGACATGACATAACAAGACCCCGCAGGGGCGCCTGTGAAAGCAGGCGTTTGGTGTGTAGCGACACCACGGACCCGAGCTAACGGGGGAGTTTCTACTCCCTCCCACGTCTAGCCGTGCGTGGCTTTGCCGTGTCCGGGGAAAAGGGGATCCTGGGGGTTGAGCTGACGCTGGGTGATTGGACCTTTAAGGCCCCCCGGCAGAGGCAACACACCCCTTTGGCCCCGGCTTCACGTAGACGGCACCCCTGGGCTGACCCACCCAGGGGAAATCGGCAGTCGCCTTTTCCTATCTCTCTCTTCCTACATCTTCGTCTTTATCTCTCACTTTTTATCTGTCCTGTCATCTTCTCTCTTCCGTTTACTTCCGAATTTCCTGGCGGCGAGGGTTAACCCTGTGTAGTTACCCAACCTTGGGTAGTTATATTCGGTTATAGCGGCGATGCATGGCTGGCGTCTCCAAGTGTTCACTAGTCAACCTTGTAGCGTCCCCTTGTTGGGCTCGGTGGTGGGTGGCCACCATCGCCGCCGAACTTTATTGTTTTTTATGGCAAAATCTTTCCCCCCCCTTCCTGATCGCTCCCTAAAAAGGTGGCGCACCGAAGATACTTTCTTGCCTAACACACCAAAGCCCACATTCCCAAAGTACCATGTAATTCACAGTCAAAACGAAAAGAAGACAGTCCGAGCTATTTCACCTTTCCTCGTCTCCAAAACTCTCACAGAAGCAATAGGCCCAGGTTACAAAGTAACAAAGATGGGAAGTGGCGATCTTCTTCTGGAGGTTCGTGACAAAGCTCAGTATGAAAAGCTGTCTAAGCTTGTGGCCTTTGGGGAAACCCCTGTTTCGGTGGGCCCACACAGGTCCATGAACACTGTCCGTGGCGTAATTTCTGATGATGATCTTACTGAGCTTTCTGAAAGTGAGCTGCTCGAAGGCTGGCAGGACCAGAACGTGGTCAAAGTCCAACGAATAACAATAAGACGCAACAACAAACTGACCCCTACAAAACACGTAATAATTACCTTCGGAACAAGTGACCTACCAGAATCAATCGAAACCGGCTATTGTAAGCTTCGTGTAAGACCATACATTCCCAACCCTCGTCGATGTTTCAAGTGCCAACGTTTCGGTCATGGATCGCAGAGTTGCAGAGGGCGTGCCACTTGCGCAAAGTGCGCATCCATTCAACACATATCAGACAACTGCACCTCAGAAACAACTCATTGTTCGAACTGTGAAGGAGATCACGCTGCCTACTCACGATCATGCCCCGCATGGAAAAAAGAGAAACAAATAGTAGAACTTAAAGTTAAATTTAATCTCACATTCCAAGAAGCGCGCCAACGCTTCGCAATACACAACCCATTTTATCCCTCCTTTGCAGATGTGACGCGCCGGGGCGCCGCGCCACATGCCTCGGCACCCGCTAATGCCACACAGTGTGTGGCCGCGGTCGTGCCACCAGCGCCCCCGGCTGGAGCAGCCTGTACTGCTCCGCCACCTGACAAACAGGGCCGGCAGACCCTAGTGTCTGAACCTCGGACCACTGCAGGCGCAGTCAGGTCCGAAAGTTCAGTGAATGTGCCTGCCCAGCCGGCACCATCCACCACCTCACACGAGGTGATGGATACAAATCCCACTCCTTCGGCGCCTCAGACGCCGAAGGATAGGCGCAACTCCTTGGAGCGCGCCAAAAAAGAAAAACCTCGAATCACAGGGCCCTCAAAAGGCCCTGTAAACTAACGCAACACCTCTGTATGCACAGCACCACACTAAATTAAAATGACACAAATACTACAGTGGAACATCAGAGGATTGTTGAGAAACCTCGACGATATCCAGGAACTTTTACACAAACATACACCTAAAGTGCTGTGCGTACAAGAGACACACCTGAAACCGAAACACACCAACTTTTTACGTCACTACATTATCTTTCGGAAAGACCGGAATGATGCCATTGTGCCATCCGGTGGTGTTGCCATTATAGTCAATGAAGGGATTGCATGCACACACCTAACATTACAAACATCCCTTGAGGCGGTGGCTGTTCGAGCAGTTCTATTGAATAAGCTCGTCACCATCTGCTCTCTATACATACCTCCACAACACCGTCTCGAAAAGCATGAATTCGAGTCCCTCATAGACGAACTTCCAGAACCTTATATTCTTCTGGGAGATTTCAATGCACATAGCAATCTGTGGGGTGACTCTCGCTGCGATGCTCGAGGTCGCCTGATTGAACAGCTTCTTTTTTCTTGCGGTGCATGCCTTCTGAATCGGAAAGCGCCAACATACTACAACATTGCTAACAATACGTACTCAGCAATAGACCTCAGCATAATATCCCCATCACTCCTGCCTCTACTTAAATGGGAAGTTATTAATGATCCATATGGTAGTGACCATTTTCCTATCGTTATCAGCTCATCAATAACAAATACATGTCCTGTACAAGTTCCAAAATGGCTCACCGACAAAGCTGATTGGGGAAAGTTTCAAAAAATGACTTTATTATCTTGGACTGACATGGCGGCATTGAGCATAGAGGATGCTGTATGCTACTTTACAGCTTTCTTGGTTGATGCAGCAGCAAAATGTATTCCCCAAACATGTGGACCGTCAAGCAAACGACGAGTCCCATGGTGGAATAATGAGTGCCGTGATGCTCGAAAAAAACAAAATAAGGCATGGAGGTTGCTTAGAGACTCGCCCACAGCCGAGAATCTTGTAAACTTTAAGAACGTCAAGTCACAAGCAAGGAGGACGCGCCGACAGGCGAGAAGAGAAAGTTGGCACAAATTCGTATCGGGCATTAACTCATACACAGATGAGTCGAGAGTCTGGAGCATGGTTGGCAAGGTGGCAGGACGAGAAGCACATTCGCTTCCTCTAGTGAACACACAAGGGGAGAGTTTGGAAGACCAGGCAAACACTCTCGGAGCGCACTTTGAACAGGTCTCCACCTCAACACACTATAGTGAAGCGTTCCGACGATACAAAACCGCAATAGAAAAACAGAGATTAGAGCGCAAGCCCAGAACACATGAGGCATACAACGAACCTTTCTGTTTTGCTGAACTGCAGGCCTCACTTGCCTGCTGCAATAAATCTGCCCCAGGCCCGGACCGTGTGGCATATGAAATGTTGAAACACCTGCCCACTGAAACCCAGAAAGCTCTCCTCTCTCTCGATAATGCGATATGGTCTTCTGGCGAGCTACCCTCAGCCTGGAAGGAAGCTATCATTATCCCAATTCTAAAACAAGGCAAGGACCCGGCCTCAGTTTCCAGCTACAGGCCAATAGCATTAACCAGCTGTATTTGCAAAGTCTTTGAAAAAATGATTAACAGGCGCCTGATGCACTTCCTTGAAATTAGTGGCCTACTTGACCCATACCAGTGTGGGTTTCGAGAGGCTCGGTCCACCACTGACCACCTTGTCCGTATCGAGGCACAAATTCGCGACGCTTTTGTTCATAAGCAATTTTTTCTTTCTGTGTTTCTCGATATGGAAAAGGCATATGACACTGCATGGCGCTTCGGCATATTGCGAGACCTGTCACATTTAGGTGTGCGGGGTAGAATGCTGACAGTTATCGAAAGCTACCTGTCCAACCGTACATTCCGTGTCCAAGTTGGCACTGTCTTATCTCGAGTATTTGTCCAAGAAACAGGAGTGCCACAAGGAGGTGTATTGAGCTGTACACTTTTCATAGTTAAAATGAATTCCTTGCACCTGTCTCTCCCACGAAATATTTTTTACTGCATATATGTCGATGATGTGCAGATTGGTTACAAATCTTGCAACATCTCAATGTGCCAACGTCAAGTTCAACTAGGGTTGAACAAGGTATCTCAATGGGCAAACGAGAATGGTTTTATACTCAACGCGCAAAAGAGCACTTGTGTCTTGTTCAGCCGAAAGAGGGGCCTCCATCCTGACCCCGACATTGACCTGCATGGTCAACCTCTGTCAGTGAAGACCGAGCACAAGTTTCTCGGTCTCATATTAGACACTAAGCTAACTTTCATCCCACACATCAAGTATTTAAGGGACAGGTGCTTAAAAACAATGAACATTTTGAAAGTGTTGTCACACACTACATGGGGAAGTGACAGGAAATGTTTAATTAACTTATATAAAAGCCTCGTACGCACACGCCTAGATTACGGTGCTATAGTCTACCAGTCGGCAACACCATCAGCCTTGAAAATTCTCGACCCTGTCCACCACCTAGGCATTCGCCTCTCTACGGGTGCTTTCCGCACCAGCCCTGTGGAGAGCCTGTACGTGGATTCGAATGAATGGTCGCTCCACCTACAAAGATGTTCCCTGTCCTTTTTGTACTTTTTGAAGGTGAAGGCAGACAAGAAACATCCTTCCCATTTCACAATTAATGATTTGTCTTGTTCTGGCTTGTTCGAGAACCGACCTTCGTTTAGGCAGCCCTACGCGCTGCGTGTAAGGAGCTTGGCCGAAGGAACAGGTGTGCCTCTTCTTGAACCAAGTTTGATGGCTCCTGCAACATATCTGCCACCGTGGCAGTGGCAGCTTATAGACTGTGATGTTTCTTTTGTTGATGTCACAAAGCACGCACCACTTGCACACATACATACATACTTTTTAGAACTACAACATAAATACACATGCCCTGAGTTCTTTACTGATGCGTCAAAGTCAAACACTTCTGTGTCATATGCAGCAATAGGCCAATCCTTTTCTGAGGCCGGCGTTCTTCATCCTAATGCAAGCATTTTCACAGGAGAAGCTTACGCAATACTGGCGGTCGTACAACACATTAAACAGATAAAATTACAAAAGGCGGTAATATACACAGATTCCCTAAGCGTGGTCAAAGCCCTGAAAACTCCTAAAAAACACAAGAACCCCGTGCTGGTGTCACTCTACTCACTTCTGTGTACACTCTACGCATCAAAACAGCATGTCGTTGTCTGCTGGGTTCCAGGGCACCGTGAAATACAAGGGAACGTTTTGGCCGACAATCTGGCTGCTTGCGCCAATGTCACTACTGCCAATGCACCAACACCAGTCCCTGCACTTGACTTAAAACCTTTTATAAAACGAAAGCTCAGGGGGTATTGGCAGAGCATGTGGGATAAACAAACAGATAATAAACTCCATGCTATTAAGCCGCAACTAGGTTATTGGCCGCCACTATCAAAATCACGACACACGGAAGTAATACTAACAAGGCTTAGGACTGGACACACACATTCTACACATTCATTTCTTCTGTCCACCGGTGATCCACCATATTGTGAGAGATGTGGAGAGCCCCTTACGGTTCTCCACATTCTCGTCCAGTGCAATGAGCTAGATGCTCTAAGAAAAAAGCACTTTTTACTGCCCTACCGACAGCAGCTCCCTCTACACCCTGGGATGCTCATCGGTAGGGATCCGCTTTTTAAACTACAAACACTTTTTACATTTTTAAAAGAAGTGCAAAGCTTTCACCCGATATTTCGAGGTCATCCGTAGCACGACCTCTATAGAGTGGTCGTGGCTGCGGTGACTATATCTTCATCATGGTTTTATTATCATGACATTTTGCCATCAGCTATCACCACACATATGTCACGCCACTGTCATGATTTTATTACTTTAATGTTTTAACCCGCGTTAGAGCGAGGAATTTTAAGGCCCCTTTACAGCCACGCACCATATCATTGTTCATATCTGTAGTCAATTGAAATGGCGCTCTTTGGCCATCAATTGGCCCTTGCGCCACTAAAAACTACTCATCATCATCATGACATAACATGAACTTTATTTTGGTCCTGAGGGATAGATATTTAGGGGAGCCATAGGCCTCCCGCCATATCAAGTCGGTTGCTCCGCCTATGATAGAATTGGATGTCAAAGGTTCGTCTCAATGTCCTGGGCCCTCTTGACGGTCTGGAGTTGTGCATGAAGACTGCTGCTGTTCAGAGATGTGTCTCATAGCTCCTTCGTGATAGTGCTTTTTGTTTTTTCAGGACATGTGGTTTCACAGCATAGTAGTCTTCAAGCTGCAATGAAGCCCTCACCCTCAAGAAACTAGCTGTTTCTGAGGGTGAGGGTGCATTTCTGAAGCTGTCTAGTATTTACATGTGCCTACCAGTAAGGCCAACAGGCCTAATGAAGCCACAGAAAGCATTGGGAACATTATTTGGAGTTGTTCTTTCTCTCCAGTTAATGCGTGTGAAAGAGCATTGAAATGTTTCTGAGCCTAATTGCAATTTCAACAGCTGGACATGACATAATTTCTATGCTTGACATAATAAACCCAGATATAACAAAATATCGCAGATAACGAAATAAACTAAGAATACTCTTGCAACAGATAGTGAGGACTAGCACTTTTACAACAACTTTTTAAATGTAACGAACTTACTTTGTCTTGCAGCTTCGTTAGTGTATTTAGTACTGACTGCAGACTGACGATTGGTGTAACCTTACCTCTCGCGCTGCTTCTGGAACTGAACACTCATTCCTTTTGTGTCGACACCCTGCAGGAGAGGAACCAATCAAGTGGGTGGTGGACATCACCATCGGCTACCCGGACATGGGCAAGCCCCTAGACCTGCTTGTTATCTCAGGCGGCTTCCGCAAGCAGTGCGTTGTCCACATGCACTACCGGCGTTTTCCCATCTCTGAGGTGCCCGTCCACGATTCTGAGGTGAGGGATGTCATTGGGATTTTCGGAAAGGGTTGGAAAGTAGGAAAATTTTCAATTTCAATTTATACAAACATTACGAAAAAAAAGCTTCCCTCACTCTTCATGTTTGACGTATAGTGTTTTCATTTCTGAAGCAACATCGAATATGAAGCTTTGCAGAGTGTAATGTACATTCATGAATTTGTGTCGTATTTTATTGTGCAATGACTGGACATCAGAAGTTAGTCCTAAGAATATTGTTTCTTTCCAACATAATGATCGCTTCCTGAGTATGTCGCACAACAACCGTGACATTTTTGAGGTTCTTTTGGACAAGAGCATGGCATGGCTTTCGAGACCTGAAATAGCAATTCCACATGGTACTTATGATGTTCTCAAGAGATACTGCAGTGCAACAAAGGCACGGATGGGACAAAGATGACAAGAACTTGTGCCGAGCTTGACCCGCCACGGTGGTCTAGTGGCTGAGGCACTCGGCTGCTGACCCCGGCTGCCGCAGCCGCATTTTTGATGGACGCGAAAATGCTTGAGGTACAAGTGCTTACATTTAGGTGCTCCTTAAAAAGCACCAGGTGGTCAAAATTTTAGGAACCCTTCACTACGCTGCCTCTCATAATCATACAGTGGTTTTGGAATGTTTAACCCCTACAATTATTGTTACGGTCGAGCCCTCATATAACAACCCCACTTAAAACGAACTTTCGCCTAAAACGAAGGATACCTGCATGACTGCGGAACATATATTATTCCAATAGAAAACAATCACAATTACAAGCGTCTCTGAGCGTCACTGGTAGGTTACAGTGAACGGAGTCTGCACTCGGGCGACTTTTCGGGACACCACTTTCGACCACCGATAAACCATTGGTGAGGTGCCCATAAATTTTTATTGCCAAATGCCGACCCTGCCTCCGCAGCCCTCTAGTTGTTGCTCTCCCCGATGGTTTTTTTATTGTGCACCCCTCCGTCCTTTGTGTTCCCCCCACCCCCCCTGCTACTTTCAGCACCCAGCATCGCCAGGCGAGGCCTGTGTTTTCACACTGCCACCGATCTTTCGAAGACCGGTCGGCCAACTAGTTTCCCCTCAGTTTTCGATCGCTAGTTTTGTTACACTTTCGTTGGCGTTGCCGGCCAGGAATGACCAGACAATTTGCCAACATCAACGGCCATCGACTGTGCCCGATCATCTGCATCTTGTCTGGATCGATGTCGTATTGTTTCAGTGCACCCGCTTGCGCTACGGCACTGACTTCGATAATTCGCGATTCGTTCCGTGCTTAGGGCCTGTTCTCGCTCACTTTCCACTCGACTCGGCATGCCCTCCGCATGCATTCGGAAGCGTAATAATGGCTTTTACATGGAACGAATCGTGTGTTAATGAAGTCGGCGGGGCCATGCAAGTCCGCCGGCACCACAATACGATTGTTTGACTTAGGCACGTGTAGATTACTCTCCCAAGTTTTCCTAAGCGCAAGTTGCGCGTTTCGTGGACTTGGTACACAGGCTACCCTTCCCACGTGTTTTGGTTTTCAAGGTCACCTTCTTGCCTATAGCTCCCTTCTGTTCACCCCGCAGGGGCGCCTGCGCAAGTAGGCGTTTTGGTGTGTAGCGACACCACGAACCCGAGCTAACGGGGGAGTTTCTACTCCCTCCCACGCCTAGTCGTGCGTGGCTTTGCCGTGCCCGGGGAAAAGGGGATCCTGGGGGTTGAGCTGACGCTGGGTGATTGGACCTTTAAGGCCTCCCGGCAGAGGCAACACACCCCTTTGGCCCCGGCTTCACGTAGACGGCACCCCTGGGCTGACCCACCCAGGGGAAATCGGCAGTCGCCTTTTCCTATCTCTCTCTCCCTACATCTTCGTCTTTCTTACTTTTTTAGCTTTCCTGTCTACTTCTCTCTTCTGTTTACTTCCAATTTTCCTCGCGGCAAGGGTTAACCCTGTGCAAATAGCCTACCTTGGTCTAGGCGCATTGGGTTATGGCAGTGTTGTACGGTTGACGTCTGCAAGTTTTCAGCACCTGCAAACTTGCAGCGTCCCCTTGTTGGGCTCCGTGGTGGGTGGCCGCCAGCGCTGCTGAACAAAAATAAGACCGGCATGCATGGAGCATTCCCTCAACTATCTGATCGTACCGGCCTAAAGCGGGTACGCATCGACGACATAAATTTTTTACCAGCCAATAGAAACTTTTCCCCACTTCCACGTCATTCACTGTGAAAAAACCGGAAAGCAAGCCAGGACCGTATCTCCTTTCGTAGTTGCCAGGTGTCTTACTGAAACTCTCGGGGCTGGATACAAAGTAACCAAAATGGCTAGCGGAGACCTTCTTCTCAAAATTCGGGACAAAGCACAATATGTAAAGCTAGGCAGCCTCTCAACGTTTGGTGACGTACCGATCACCGTAACACCACACAGATCCATGAACATCACTCGCGGAGTGGTATCTGATGCAGACTTACTTGAACTCACCGAAACTGAACTTTTGGAAGGGTGGAAGAACCAAAATGTCAATAATGTACAGAGAATTATCATCAGAAGAGATAATAAGGAAATACCAACGAAACACTTGATACTCACGTTTGCATCCAGTAAACTACCAGATTCCATTCAAACAGGGTACACTAAGACATCTATCAGGCCGTATATACCAAACCCTCGTCGTTGCTTCCAATGCCAGAGGTATGGCCATGGCTCTAAAACCTGTCGTGGTCGCCAGACTTGTGCACAATGTGGAGTTCTAGGCCACGTGTCTGAGAACTGCAAACAACCGCCACACTGTGTAAACTGCGAAGGAAACCATGCCGCATATTCACGCTCCTGCGCATACTGGAAAAAAGAAAAAGAAATAATTACATTGAAGGTGAAGGAGAACATTACGTTTAAGGAAGCACGGCGAAGAGTCGCTCCATTCTATGGACCTACATACGCTGATGCGGCGCGTCGGGGCACCGCCGCACCAGCCCTTGCCACTCCTTCGGCCCGCGCATACCGATTCGGCGGTTGTGGCACCTGCCCCCAAGGCGGCTGTAGCCCAGGCTACACCGCCTACTCCCAAGCAGAGACCGGAGACTCCAGAGTCTTCGGGTCTCAAGGCCTCCCCTCACCAGGCGAGGCCCAAAATCGGAACTAACAGCCCGCACGTGCGGGCATCCAGTGCCTCCGAAGAGGCAATGGATACGTCGGCACCCTTGGTGCCGAAAGAGCGGCGTGGCTCCTTGGAGCGCGCCAAGAGAACAAAAAAGCAAATAACAGGGCCTGGTGACAGCCCTGTTAAGTGAACTCAAGCTCCCCGTCTAAACAGCCACTTGTTTTTCGTACACACAGCATTGTTTTACATTCACCATGAACACTCAAATTATACAATGGAACGTCAGGGGCCTTCTCAGAAACCTTGACGACATCCAAGAACTCTTACACGAACACTCACCAAAAGTTCTGTGTGTACAAGAAACACACCTTAATTCAAAACACACAAATTTTCTTCGTAAGTACGTTATTTGTTGAAAGGACCGTGATGATGCCATGACATCATCCGGAGGTGTTGCCATCATAGTGAATCAAGGAATTGCATGCACACACTTACAACTCCAAACATCCCTTGAGGCAGTGGCTGTTCGAGCGGTTCTTTTTGATAAACTGATCACAATCTGCACTATTTACATTCCTCCTAGCTATCAGCTGCAAAAACGTGATTTACACTCTTTAATTGATGAACTTCCGGAACCTTATGTTCTCCTTGAAGACTTTAATGCGCATAGCAGGCTATGGGGTGACTCTCGGTATGACGCGCGAGGTCGACTGATCAAACAGTTCATTCTCTCGTCGAGCGCGTGTCTCCTAAATCGAAAAGAACCAACCTATTATAATCTCGCCAATAACACCTACTCCTCCGTAGACCTAAGCATAGTATCTCCATCCCTTGTGTCTCTTCTCCAGTGGAAAGTCGTCAGTAATCTGTACAGAAGTGACCACTTCCCCGTAGTTTTGAGCACAAATACAGTAACTGAGTGTCCACCACGTGTTCCCAAGTGGCTCATAAACAGAGCCGACTGGGAACAGTTTTGTACCATCGCTCGTCTAGGTTGGAATGACATATGTACTTTGAACATTGATGTTGCTGTCAACTTCTTCACAGCGTTTTTGATTGATGCTGCAACAAAATGCATCCCACAAACAAATGGACACCCTGGAAAACGGCGTGTGCCATGGTGGAACTCTGAATGCCGAAACGCGCGCAAACAGCAGAACAGAGCTTGGAGGCTGCTTCAGAACTCACCGACAGCCGAAAATCTTGACACCTTGAAGAAAGTCTCAAGCTAGGAGAACGCGTCGGCAGGCCAGAAGAGAAAGCTGGCAGAAGTTTTTGTCAGGGATCAATTCGTACACACAAGAGGCCAAAGTCTGGAACATGGTCGGTAGGATAGCAGGGAAACAAGTACTCACACTTCCACTCGTAAACACTCAAGGTGATACCTTGGAAGATCAGGCAAACTTCCTCGGGGCACATTTTGAACGGGTATCCAGCTCGTCCCACTATACTGACACTTTCCAAAAATACAGAACAAGAATAGAAAGGAGAAACTCGAACACAAATCCACTAGATACGAGGCATATAACCAAGCTTTCAGTCTAGCGGAGCTCCGAACATCCCTAAACTCCTGCAGTACTTCTGCCCCAGGTTCTGACCGTGTGGTGTATGAAATGTTAAAAAACCTGCCAGCCGAAACACGAAAAACCCTACTTTGCTTTTACAATGCTATCTGGTTTTCTGGCACTATCCCTACCTCCTGGAAAGAGGCTATTATTATTCCCATTTTGAAAGAGGGCAAGGACCCTTCTTTAGCTTCAAGTTATAGGCCTATTGCACTTACAAGCTGCTTGTGCAAAGTATTCGAAAAAATGATGAACTGCCGACTTGTACATATCCTTGAAACAAACAATTTGCTCGACCCATTTCAGTGCGGGTTTCGAGAAAGTAGATCCACCACAGACCACCTTGTT